CACCCGGGACCACACGGGGGGCACCCGGTGGCCAAGCCCCTTCCCCGCACCCCCCGTCCCCAGCCGTGCTGGAGGGGGGCCACACAGCAGCAGGTGACAGTCCCCACCGCTTCCTCCATGGCAGCATCCCAGCCTCAAGGGCCAGAGCCTTGTGCATCTCCTGGACGGGTGGTCTCGGCAAGGTGGGGGTGACCCCGCGGTCCCCCACTCACAGCCACCGCAGGGAGAAGCCCTGGCTGAGGCTGAGGCCAAGGTCACTCACGGTGAGAACCTGCGGGAGGAGAGGAGACATTTTGGGGTACAGCCTCGGTGGGGAGGATGCAGAGTATCCTTCTCCCTACCCAGCTTGGCTGAGCTCCACTCCCCCTGAACCCCGACATGGCGGGAGGGCCGCTCCAAAGTCCTCAGCCACCTCCTTGGCCACCAACCCTGTGACAAGGGCTGGGGGAGGAGGGATGGAGACCCCCAGGATGGGGACCCCCATGACAGGGCACCCCAAGATGGGGCCGTACCTGGTTGTCCAGGTAGGAGAAGGGCTTCTCCTGGCCGTTCAGGAGGACCTTGCTGGGTGGCTCCCGCACCCCAAAGATGCTCAGTGTGCCAACAGTGACCTCGGTGGCCTCAGTGCTGGCGTGGAGGACGGTGGAGGTGAAGATGTTCTGCAGGAGGGGACGGCATGAGCTCAAGGTGGCCAGGTGCCACGAGATCCCCCACCCCTACCCTCCCCATCGTGTCCCACCTGCGTGACATTGAACACCAGGTAGGAGTAGCTGCCCCGCTCGAAAGTGTCCAGGCTTTCGCCGTCATCCCAGAAGAGGTCCCCCCAGGCGGTGGCACTTGAGGACAAGGCCACGATGAGGCGCAGGGGGTTCCCTCGGGTCGCCTCGCTGGTGGTCCCCGGTTTCTGGGGTTCAAAGACATGGGTGCTGTAGGGCTGCAAGCAGCCGGGATGGGGTCTGGGAGCTGAGGTGCTGGTGGGGACACACACGCTGTGGACAGC